AAAATGATTGGAAATCAATGGCAATAATCCCACAAGATCACCCATTGTTATAACACACATGATGGGATTCCCAAAATGATGTCTTGTTGGTGTGGTGCAATAAACATTGGTGAAATAAGTATGTTATTAGAACATTGAGCAAAAAACCCTAAAACAAAAGCAAATTAAAAAAAAAAGAGAGAGAAAAAGAAAAAACCTTTTAAATTTATTCAAATTTGATTTCCCTAATTCCCACACTTTAACTTTGGAGCACTTTCATGCTCAAAATGACACTCATTACGATTTATGCATGGCTTCTATTTTCCCTTAATTTTTCCATTGTTATTATGTCATCGACTTTGAGTATGATGAACGTGAGTGAAAATTGTATCCAATGTGAATAGATCCTCCATATTCTTGACAACTAACTCGTAGAGTTTTGTATTTATTAACCAAAGTTTACTTCTAAAATAATTTGTTGTAATTCTTCTGATCACAATGGACTTTTTATTTATTTATTCTATTGAGTTTGAGCATTTTTGTAATTTTACTTTTAGCACTTCGGACAAAGTACGTTTTCAATTTAATTTTAAGGAGGTATTACTTTACCACTTATTAAAGTCTATAATTTAATTGGATGAATTTAAAAATTTATAGTTAAAATTAGCTCACCAAGCGAATTACATAGCTTAATTATTTTATACCTAAATTTAAATATAATTCCTTTCTAAACAACTTCAATTAGAAGTAACTTCATCCGTTTCTTGTTTTTTCTCGTTTTTAGTGTTTGAGAAATATAAGTGTTTGATAACTATTATGTTTTCTGTTCTTCATTCCTTAAAAATGTTTCCAAAATCAAGTTTCTTATTTCTTGTTCCTATTTTTATTTTTATTTTTGAAAAAACATAAATAAAATCATTATGTATCATTTTTAATTTATAAAATGCATAATAAATATTACAAAAATATATAAGCCAAAAGATTTGAATATTTAATTTTAAAAAATTAATTTTCATATTAGAAATTCACTTTTTTTAATTACAAATTTTAAAGTCCGAGAAATAAGAAATGATTATCAAATATGTTTCTATTTTTTTTCAATAAGTAAAGAAAGAAACAACTGAAAAAAAAAATATTAAATGCAGTTCGGTTTCTATTTATCAAAAAAGAGGAAACAAGAAACAAAAAAGTAAAAAAATAAAAAACGAAAAACAAGAAACATGAACCTTACAAATAGACTCTTAACACCCAAATTTATATTTTATTATGTTGAACATTTGACTATGGCAAACAAGATCAATATAATCAATGAATACAACTAACAAGATAGCCAACATGAACTTAGATCAGCAGTAACTAATACTTGTCTTTGGTCAAGAGGTCATGAGTTCGAATTCTCTAGTAAAAAAAAAACACAACTAACACGATTAGATCTCAAAGTTGTAATTTTCACATTTCCCCCCTTGAATATCCCACTTTTGGTCTAAAAAAGCAAACATTATGATACAATACAACTCTAACATTCAAGATCTCCACAACAAGAACCCTAACAAAAAAGAGCAATGTATTAATCATTTCAAAAAATGCAAAAGATAACCTCCTTTAGAGGAGAGAAAAATGGGAAATGGACAAGGGAGGCAATGGGGTGTAATTGTTACAACTTTTATAACAATAAAATCATGGTTATTGAAAAGGACCTCAAAGGAAATGGAGGGATTGTGCCAAACATTCATATGCCCTTTGTCTAAAAAAGGGGGGAGAGCATTGGGAAAATAATGGCAAATTTCCCTTTTTCTTTCTTTTTCAAAAACAAAATGAAGGGAGCATTTTCCTTCCATAGACATCATGTTGTTGGCCATTTTTTGACCCTCCCCACACAAAGTGAATTGTACCGTCTATTCTCATTGTCAACCACGTCAACATTATTTGCAAACCATATGAGATCTAACCAGAAAGTTTATAGCATTTCTGTAATATATCTACTCCTTTTTGTCCACACTGAATTTTCCTTCACAAATAATTTTTTCATACTTCTGAACTCCCGTGTTATTCTTAAATGATGTATACATGGATGATAATGAATACGAGTAGGATACGTAGTATAATGGTATTGAGATTTTTTTGGGATTCGAGTCCAGTACTCTTATGGGACTTTAGAAAGGAACAATGTTGAATAATTATCTATGAAGGAAAATTCAGTATGCACAGAGAGGTTGATACTAGGAGAGAACTAAAACATTTCCCAATTATTTCGTATCTTAAATTCAAATTTTATTCCCAAGTTCAGCTTAAGTGGGTGGACAAGACACTTATTACCATTTTGAACAAACCTCCAATGACCAAACCAAGCATAGTTCAATTAATTGAGATACTTATCTCAAATCAAAAGACGGTGAGTTGGAATCTATCGTGGGAAAAAAAACGAAAAAAGCCTACACCTATAATTTTCATTTCCCTTCTTGCCCTCCTTCTCCACCGATATTACCAAAATACCCTTCCACTAAAAAAGGAATCCTCTTCTAACCTACGCCGGATGAGTTTAACAGCAGAGGCGGCTCCCGGTTCGCCGGCAGCGCTAAACTGCGCCGTCCGGTTGTAATAAAGCCGTTCGTTTTCAAGTTGTTCTTCCACGATCCGTTGGTTTCATTTGTGTGGGTTTTTTCTGTTACTGCCCTCAGAAAAAAGTGAGAAACCAAACAAAATACACCAGAAATTGAAGCCCTTTTTTCTTCTACTACTGCCCAGTTCGCGAGAAAAAAGCTGAGGGATCTCTCTGCGAATTTCGGAGCCAAAGTATTGAGGACAATGCCAGGAAATGTAGATCAGGGCGTTGAATTTCTCTGTGATTCTCGTCGTTTCTTTCGGTCAAAAAGCTTCGAAACTGTTCCTCTCAGTAAAGGGGCTTGTTGAAATCCGTCCCTTTTCTCTTTTTTCTCTCTTTTACGCTTTTGGGGTTCTTGAAAATTTCTTCTTACGCCTCCTGTTGTTGTTGTTGTTTGTTTCTTTTTGTTTTTATGACGATTTCGTAAGTTCATCCATGTCGTCCGACATAAGCTAGGGTTTAATTTTCCCCTTGTTTCAGTGATCCGTGTCGCTGGAGTGTTTTTGAGATTCTCTGCTGTTGTTGTTCGTCATGGATTGTTGTACCAACTCTTGTGGAGTCCACTGCGTTAGAGGCTATATTGTTGGTGCTGAAAGTTCGATGATCTCGTCTTCTTTGTATTGAATTTATTGAAGAATTTGTGCGCTTGATTAGGGTTTTTTTTTGGGCTGTTTGAGTTTAAGGGGGATGGGAACTGATCGTCTGCTCTTACCTACAGTTGGACCGCCAATAAAACGGCGAGCGGGGTTGAGGAGAAAACAGGCGGGTAGAGGCTCGTATAGGGGAAGCTAGGGAAGTTGGGGATTTTTCCAAGGTGTTTAGAGTTGGGGGATTTTTCAAGGAGTTTTAGTAACAAGCCCTGTTTTGGGAGGGTATTCTTTTTATTAGACAAAAATTGTTCAGTTGAGAGATGGGGACTACTGACTTGCACCAAATACTCAAAAGCCTTTGTTGCAACTCGGAATGGAAGTACGCTGTCTTTTGGAAACTTAAACATCGAGCTCGAATGTAAGTCATTGGGATATGAAATATCAAGCTCTTTTTGTCCTTGCTAAAGAAAATATTTGTTCTGTATGTGGTTCTTGGATGCTTTACTGTGAAGTAGAGAAATTTGATGGTTATTCAAGTACGATGTTGCTTGTCTTGATCTGCCAACTCTTTGTGCAGAGACTACTTTCCATTTTGTGGCTTAGTTACATTGGAGTAGTCCTTTTTCTTTTCCTTTAACTGAAACTTTCGGATGGCTGTTCCTAGTGTTTGTTATTCAGCGGATAATATAGCTCTATGCTTTCCAGCAATTCCCTTGCCCTGTTTTAATCTTTCTATTGGTTTACTGTTCCAGTGTAGGGCATGTAATTCATATGTTATCTTTGGATTCAGGGTGCTGACTTGGGAGGATGGCTACTATGACAATTCTGAACAACATGATCCCCCAGAGAGCAAGTTTTTCAGAAAAACGCTTGAGAAGTTTCATGATGGTCATTTTTCACATGACCCTCTCGGTTTAGCTGTGGCGAAGATGTCCTATCATGTATATTCTCTTGGGGAAGGGTAAGCATCTTAACATTTGTCATCCTTTATGGTTATCATATGATTAGTTAAAGCCATAGTCTTCGATATAATTTTATATTTTATCCTTAAATCAAGTTTGCGTAGAAGGGGAATCATAATGGATAATGCCTTTCACTAATTATATTTATAATAAATTTTCTTGTGCTTCATGTGACTTCGATCAGCCAACTTCTATATTTTGAGTTAAGAATTGGGATTGTTGATTAACTCAGTGTCTATAGGTAGGAATTTTTATGAAGTTGTAATTTACTTCATCTTTATTGTAATTATTGTTTTCCTTTGCAGGATTGTTGGGCAAGTAGCAGTTACTGGAAAACATCAATGGATTACTGCAGACGAGCAAATACCAAATTTCTCTTCAACACTTGAGGTGCCATACTTTTCCGTTCTGCAATTATTTAAGTTAATGCAGTTTATCTTATGATTTCAGGTATATAATTAAATGCTTGTTTTTTGACTATTTGGGATTGTATTACTTTACTCATTTTTTCTGATCATATTTCAATAGTATTGTGACGGTTGGCAAACACAATTTTCAGCTGGCATTAAGGTATGGCAGCCTCTCTATCTCACCAATGCATACACCCAGAAAAAAATGAAAAATGGGTGTCTTTTTTCTACAAAGTAAAGAACATTTTCCTATTCTACCCAATACCTTAATTTCCGCTTTTTAGTGTTGACCATTGTTTCTTTAAAGATATCAGTGTTCTAACATCCAAAATATATGATTTCGATTAGCTCTTTTGAATTAAGATAAATTTTACCTTTTTTCCTTGGAATCATATTCGTAGTTTCTGGCTTATTTCGGCAACCATGAAAATTGAAAACTGAAGTTTGGATACAACAATCTAAAGGTTCTACCATGAATTAGTAGATCTACTTTGACTAACTTGGTCAAGGAATCAGATAGTCTACTTTGATTAAAATTGGGTTAGATGGGTCGCGAATTCAACTGCTTATATTCTGTATGGATGAAAAAATTGAAAATAAATCCAGCTTATGCAAGTTTTCTTTTCACGAATTTATTTATATATTTTGCTAACACACTACCAATGTTATTTATCTGCTCTGTAGACTATTGTTGTTGTAGCGGTTGTTCCACATGGTGTTTTGCAGCTTGGGTCTTTAGATAAAGTAAGAGAAACTTCCTTCTGGTAGATTGTGAAAGTTTGCCAACTTGTTTCATATAATAGGCATCTCTGACAATGAAATGCATTCCGTTCTTGTAACCTTACGTTCCTTATGATTGTTAGTATTTGGTATCTGTTATATAACTTATATTTTAGTAGCTTTGTACCCATGGCTTAAATAACGGGTAACTGTATGCATGTTTTTATCTATTTGTAAATTGGAACAATTAAAGAGTTGTTTGGAATGTTCTTGTTTCTCATTTTATTTCCACTCCACTGGAACAACAAGAACAGGAATGAGAAGCACGAAACTGAAACGTTATGAAACAAGCCCCGAGAGGATGAAGACTTAAATTTTGTTTACTTTTTATTTATTTTTGGATGAAGAGACTTACATTATGTTTCCATTCTCAGTAGTGTTAATATCTGTCAGATTTTAGTAGTTTTGTTACCATCCATGCATTAAATGATAAAACATTTGATTTAACGTGCACGAAGGAATGCAAGGATATTGTAAAAATATTAAATTAATGGCTTCCTTCAATTTGCATGTTATCTCATTCTAGTTTATTTTTTGTGTGCATTTCTTATTGGAATTAGGTCACTGAGGATATCAATCTTGTGACTCGCATCAGAAATATCTTTCTAACTCTTCAAGAATCTTCAGCTGGGCATATTAAGCCGATGCATTCTTGTACAAGTTCAGGATACATGGTAACTCTCTTTCTGTATCTCTTACCCTTTCCCCTCTTTGCCCTCATTTATGCAATAGAAGAATTTCTGTATTAGTTCGATATGATAGGGTAGGAATGTAGGATCTGCCAGTATTGTTTAAAGTATCATGAGGTGCTGTAAAGCGCACTAGTCCTCCCCAGCTTAAGTGTGAGGCGCGAAAAAAAGGGCAAGGTTTTTTTTTTTTTTTTTTTAATTATTTTTATTCAGTCGCAGTTTGCAAGTAGAAAGATATAAATAAAATATTTATCTATGAAAAGAAATAGTATTATCAATAATAAGATAATGAAAAGTTTAATTTTAAGAAATTAGAGTGTTGTGAGAGATTTTGGAGAAAAATGAACATTTTTTAAGATATTTGTTGGTTTCTTCACAGAAGAATTAGGAAAAAAAAAAGAAAAAGAAAAAGAAAAGGCCCTCAGAGATTCATTTAGGGCACCACCTCACTCTTCTCAGAGAAGTGCACCTGTGTGCGTTTTAAATCACTGGGATCTGCTGTGTCCTCTGCACTTCGTATACAGATATACTGGTTAGACTAAATGATATCGATTTTCCTCTTCTGCAGGCGGACATTTCAACTAAAAGCTTAGTAACAGAGGTGACTCCTGGTTGCTTTAACTACTAGTGAAAATTGAGAAAGTTCAGATATTTGCTGCCTAAATTTTCCACCCTGTGATAAAACTTGGGATTATTCTCTTATTATCTACTTCCTGTATATCAGAAAAATGAAGTTGAGATGGTCAGCAAGAGTGTGGGGATAGAGTTGTCAGGATCTGGGGGCAATGAATCTCTGAAAACAAAACCGGATGCTACCATTGTGCAGGGTTTGAAATCACAAGTGAGGTCGATTGATGATAGGATGTGTGTAGGGGAGCCTAGTGGGTGCAAAGATATGGCAGTTGGTTTGAAACACAAAGTACATGTACGATTGCAAAACTCAACCATGGATATGGTTAATATATGTGGTAATTTACTTCCAGCTGAGAAGATCATGACAAATGATGCATGCTTCCCTATGAATTCTCATGCCTCTTCTGCATGTGATGGAGTTAATCACAATGGGATGTTGAGAAGAACCAACCCTACAGAAATGTGCTTGGAAAATGACGTTGAAGCATTGGAGATTCGAAATGAAACTGATATGTATCCATCAAACACATCATTGAAGTTCCCTGCTGGTTATGAGCTCCATGAAGTACTCGGGCCTGCTTTTCTGAAAGATGCTCTCTATCTTGACTGGCAAGTGGAGTACGGTTTTGGTAGTAAAGCTTTCGAGTTATCTGAGGGAATGAGTGGTAGCCAGTTGACATCTGATTCACCGATGGAGCGTCTTCTAGAAGCAGTAGTGGCTGATGTTTGCCACAGCGGTTCTGATGTCAAAAGCAACACATCTCTATGCAAATCTGGACAGTCCCTGTTAACAACTGAAAGAATTCCCGAGCCTTCCACAAATATTACAACATCTGCTTGTTCGGAAGGTTACTCAATGGGTCAAAGTCAATCATCTTTTATTGGAGAGGACATGCAGAACTCTTTAAGCTCATCAGGAGTATGTGGGGTGATGTCCCCAAAGGGGTTTTCGTCGACTTATTCCGGTACTGGCAGTGAGCACCTGGAGAGGTCTTCAGAACCTGCAAAGAACAATAAGAGAAGGGCCAAACCTGGTGAGAGTTGTAGGCCCAGGCCGAGGGACCGACAATTGATCCAGGACCGCATCAAAGAACTTCGAGAGCTAGTGCCAAATGGAGCAAAAGTAACTTCTGAGAAGCCCTTCATCCATTTTTTCATTTTGATGGAACTAGAATGTTTCATTACTCTTTTGCTTCTTCCTCTTACAAGCTTCTTGCTTATATCAGTGTAGTATTGATTCGTTGCTGGAGCGCACAATCAAGCACATGTTGTTCTTGCAAGGCATCACCAAGCATGCTGACAAGCTAAATAAATGCGCAAACATGAAGGTAATTGGCTCAGAAACCCTACTGTAACAAGAAAGTTATTTTCTTTTCCTACATGGTTAGAAAGCCTGTTTCGTATTATTCCTTTTCCATTATCATGCTGATTGTTCTCAAGCTAACGCCGGTGGCATCAGTGTTTTGAGAAGCACACCTAGGCGCGCACGCCTAGGTGCGCTACTCAAAGAAACCCAAAGAAGTGAGGCACCCTAACTAAGGCGCACACTCTTCCAAAGGGAGTGCACATGCCTTAGGGCCTTTTGGCTGTTTTATTTATGTTATTTTTTTAATTTTTTAAAAGAAATTAAAAATATCTTTCAAATCCCCCTTTTTTTACCTAATTAACCGTTTAGAAAGCCTCTAATTTCTTAACTTTCTCACTAACTCTTTTGTATAAAAAAAATTATCTACATCTTTTTTATTGTGCGACTTGAGACAAAAGCCTTTTTTTTGTGTCTTGATCTTAAGTTCTGGAAGGCTATTGTGCTTTAAAAAACACAGGATGAGATGGCTATCATCCGAAGAAATAAGGTCTATAAATAGGACGGGTGATAACAATTATTATGGAAAATGGCCTCGCTACATCTTGTGTTCCTTGTGATAGTAGCTTAGACTTTCAACTTGTCTGCACTGAAGTAACATTTTTATGTGATAATCTTGAACACTGTTCTCCACTTCTTACATGTTATGTATTTATAGTTGCATCAGAAGGAAAATGGCATGCTAGGATCCTCAAATAATGATCAGGGTTCAAGCTGGGCAGTTGAGGTGGGTGGTCAACTTAAAGTTTGTTCGATAATTGTGGAGAATCTCAACAAGAATGGGCAGATTCTTGTAGAGGTATGATTTATGAAATGGTTAAATTAATCTTTCATTTATTAGAGAGCAAGTATTGGTCTTTTTCCCACAGTAAAGATTAAATAAATTGAAATGTGTTGTAACTCTAGCCATCTATCTCTTGCTTTTATTTTCCTTCCTTGATTATTTAGGCCCATTTGACAACTATTTTATTTTTGAAAATTTAGCTTATTAGCAAGCCTACTTCCACCAATGCGTTTTTTACTTTGTTATCTACTTTTTAAAAGCATTTACAAAATCTAAGCCAATTTTTTTTGAAGGGTAGTTTTAGTAAACTTTTTTTAGTTTTTGGAATTCAAATGTGTTTATAAAAATAGTGAAAAATACACCAAAGAAATTGAGAGATGGTAGGCATAACTTTGAAAAATAAAAAACAAAAACGAGAGCGTTATAAAATGGGACCTTAGTTTTTCCTGGTTTTACATTATAATTTATAACAATTGATACAATACACCTCTTTTCAGATGTTGTGTGAAGAATGCAGCCATTTTTTGGAGATAGCAGAGGCTATTAGAAGCTTGGGACTGACAATTCTAAAAGGCATAACGGAAGCCCATGGCGAGAAAACGTGGATTTGTTTTGTGGTTGAGGTATAATAAAATCCAAATCAGAATTCTCAATGTTGGTTGGGAAAAATTATATTTTTCTTTCCTCTCTTCCCTTTAGTGCTGCTGCTGCTAATGCAATCCACCATAGTAACCTGGTTTGAGAGAACTGGATGGATTAATATAATAAGGGCCTTGTTTGATGACTAATATCGTTTGTAGTTTCTGTTTTTAAAACTGATGTTGGCTTCTTAATAATTTCTTTGTCATGTTTATTACCTTAAAAATATATTTCAATTCTTGCTAAATTTCAAACACACAAATTTTTAAAAACTACTTTTCTCATAGGTTTTCAAAATTATTTTGAAAACATTTTCTTATCAAAAAAATTATTTTGAAAACATTTTTAATAAATAGATTTCTAAACAAAGAAAAGTATTAGCGGAAGAAGTGTTTATAAATTTATTTTTCAAAAACAGAAAAATATAAACAAAATAGTCGTCAAACGGAACTAATATCTTGGTTTGGTCTCTTTTAAGACTTTATACAATGGTTTTTTCTAACCCATTTTTGGCTAAATAGTCCAATTGCATAGAATAATAGAACTTGAAATTTGTATGGTGATGTGAAGGCGAATTGATGGTACTTATCAATCATTGTATTGATATATCTGGTTTTGAAACTATTGTAGGGGGAGAATAACAGAAGCATACACAGGATGGATATCTTATGGTCCCTTGTTCAAATTCTACAGCGCAGTAACAATACAATGTGACAGCTTCTTCAACCGCTCAAACTTTTTGCAACTATTGTTTGTGTAGATTCCTCTGTAAAATAGTGTGAGTTTACCATTCATCTATCTCCTGCTTTTTGGAGTGCATCACCACTTTGCTCAGAGATATTCACCCTTCCCTATACAGTTCTTGAATATGAACTAGGAAAAAAGAAACATAAGAATCTATAGAAGGGTGCTCTAAAAGCAAGCCAAGTTTCTGTGAAGAGCATTATTGTTTCCACTTTCCATGTGTGAAAAACTTTTTCTTTTTTTACTTGTTTGGTGTGTTTTCTAGCAAGTGTTGTCATTGTTTGAGAGGTACAAAAGGTTTTCTACTTGATAGAGTGCAACTATTCTGTATTTGTAAGACTCAATTTTAATAGTATAAGTTCATTTGAACAATACAAGTGTTCTCGTATATGTGGTATTGCACTTCTACCGGTTTGCTTGTCCCCAGTATGCTAGGACATTTATAACACCACCTAAATAAGCCTGATATTTGAACAATTCTTCCCGTTGCTTGCATAGAACTTCCTTCCTATATCTGCAAATAGATGATTTTCTTGCCTACTACAGATCCCATACTACCCCCGTAAACTGAAAATCTATAACTCTGATTGCTATGGAAATACCGTTTAATTTATGGTGCTTGTTTCTTTGGTGAAAACTACAGTTGAAACTTATTTTTGTAGTATATGGAGTTTCCTTTGTGCTAAAAGGGGGTTTCATATTCTAAGATGTGGTAGGGCTGAATTACCATCCTGTCCCTTGAGCATATGGCAGATAAGATAATCATTGATATTAGTCGATCTGTATATGGGTGGGTTGTCCTCAGATAGAAACTCTTTTGCAGGTCCATAAGGTGTGAGCCTATGTCTTGCACTTGGATAAAAGAAGCATGCTGCTGATACTCTCTTCCCAGTGCCCCTTGCCAACACCCTGTGCTCTACACTCTTGATCTTGTCATTGGTGATCAGCTGCATCAATCAAACAAAACAACACCCATCAAGTTATGGCCTAGACAAGGATGGAAAGAAAGAACGAACGGACCTGGAGAAAGTCGCCGATGTTGGCGAGGAGCGCTCCGGGGAGGGGAGAAACATGGAGCCACTGGTTTTGATGGAGGACTTGGAGGCCACCAGTGGTGTCTTGGAGGAGAATTGTGAAAGCAGATGGGTCTGAGTGCTTGATTGTGCCTAATGTGAGCTCTGGTTGAGGGCAGGCTGGGTAATAGTGACACACAAGAGTCTCAGATTTCATACATTCTGATCTTGCAAAGTAATCAGTGGGGACTCCCAATGCCTCTGATATCAACTCTGATATCTTGTCTCTTAGCTCTCTTATGTGCTTCATGTATTCACTCACTGCCTCTCTGTCAAATCAAAACCACACACTTCACAAACACAAATCTTGTATCTATAGTGTCATGTATCAGGTAATATTACTCGTAATGCTCTGCTACGTGCACCGAATACTCGTGCCGGAGCTGGCTTTTAGTTTTAGAATGAGTTTGAGAAGACTTTTGAGATAACCATGGTATGAATATGTCGCAAAAGAATAATGAAAGTTTTGAAAAGTACTTTTTACCATTTCAAAATTAATGGTGAACTCTTCTTTAATCTTTTGAAAGCTTTCGGTTCATTATTTGGGTAATGAATTAATTTTGATTGAATTCTTACCATCACAACAATGTTCGAGTTTTAATGGTGATATATATTTTTTTTCGTGAGGCTATTTGTTGTTATTGTCATAGTATTTCTAGTGTTTCCATTCTTTATGATGACCTATTTTTGGTGAGTAAGTTATTATGGATTAGATTATTTTAAGAGAAGTGAGTAGATTTTTTCGACTTTTTCTTTTTTTGATACAACATGTGCATTAGATTTTTTTTTTGCCTACTACAAAAAAATTATTTTCATGTTACATCATCCCTTCGTTAGTGAATTTAAGTCATTTGATTATTGGCAATAAACACATGATTGAAAATAAGATTCTAAAAGGAAAAAAGAAAAAAAAAATATATATATATATGAAACTATTCTAGAAGAACAATATGTATACTAGATAGAGGTAACATTATTAATTTAAATCTAAAGATAAATATAGTGTGGCAATCGGTTACAATATAACGAAAACATCAAATGTATTTAAACATATTTGGCATTTTCAAAGAAACCTATCTTAAACCGCTTGGTTACATAGTGTGGCAGTTGGTTTTTTTCGGGTTAAAAAACACTTTTAATCTACTTTTTTTTAAGTAACAATTTAGTCATTGTATTCTAAAATTGATAACAATTTAGTCCTTATATGAATTTTTTTTTTGTTAAGTTTGTTGTTTGTATATATTGATAAATTAAAGAATGACCAAATATGTTTATAAATTAGAAAGATTAAATTGTTATATGATAAAATTTCACACTTAATTTTAATAAAACTTTTTACGATAGGGACTAAATTGTTACAAATTTTAAACTATATGGACTAAATCGTTACAAATTAAAGTTCAGGGACTAAATTATTACTTTAAGGATAGTATAGGGACTAAATTGTCACAAACTGAAGTTCCCGGGGATCAAATGTGTTTTTTAAACATTTTTTTAAATAAAAAAAAATCTCTTTTTGTCTTAAACATGTTTATTTGACAGCTATTTTTGAGAACCATCAATCAATTTATCACCTACAATTCACAAGCACATTTTAAAAACCATGTCCCATGATATCTAACCCCAAAAAACAATCCCATTATCTTATCTATTTTTTTGTTTGTTGAAAGTTTTACTTTCTCAAAGTTTTGGACATTTTTTTTGATCCCAAATCCTATGGTGTACTTACGATATTAAATTTTCATTTACATGTCTCTGTCTATGTGTTTGTAGATTCTATATTGATATAAAGAGTAAATCAACGTTTCCTATATATAATAACAAATTTAATGAAAAAATATATATAAAACATAAAAAATTATGGACATCAACATTTCTATCAACAACAATATCTAAAATACGAGTTGTCACATGCTTGTTTAGGAAGGTGATTATCAAAAAATGCTTATAGAAAAAGTGAATCACTTAAAAATAATATACAATAATTTTAAAAGTATTTAATCTAAAAACACTTTTTGCAATCTTGACAAAAAAAAAAAAAGGTTCTATTAGAACTTGTTTTCTACAGGAAAGAATTACTTTTTCCTATCTTTATAATTTTTTTATTTCTTTTTCTAACTTATTAATTTCTTTCACTTCAATGCCTCTTAATTTGAGGAAAAAAAAATCTAATCTAATGATTAAAATAAGTCTTCAATATTATTCATAATATTTCTATGGGTAATTTTGAATGTTAGAAAATGTACTAAAAATAGGAGTCTTTGTGAGTATATTCCCTTTTTGTCTTAAATATGTTTCTCTGACAGCTGTCTTAATAAACTATCCATCACATTTTTTTTTTAAAAAAAGGAAGAAAAAGAATCACACGTCTAATATTATTTATTTGTTCTTTTTTTTTCCTTTACCTAATTTTGACAAATTGTGGGGTATGTTTCAATTTTGGTTTTACTTTTTCAAATTTGTGGACAGTTTTTTTTCCCAAACTTCATGTCTTAAATTTGCTATTAATATACAACTTTATTTACTCTAACTAACCCAACCATTGTTCAAATGAGTTAAAATGTCATGAGTTTGAATTTTCATTTTTGTGATGATATAAAAAAGAATTTTATTTAAGAAATTAAAAGCGTATAGAATTATTCAGAGATTAATATAAATGTAGATAAACTATACAACAGATATTAACAAATATAAAGAAATAGTTGTTTCTAAATTTCAAGGGATCCTTGGTTTTAAAACTTTCGATTTGGTTTCAATGGTTTTGTTAAATCTAACAAGCTATCCATAAATTATGTTTTACTCACCCAAAGATTCCACCGAGCTATTTCCTTATATCTTTTGCTCAATTCTAAACTCTAATACAGCCTCGCTAACACAATTAGACAAATAGAGGATATCAAATCATTGCCACAAAATTCTTTTGGTCAATTTGGGGAAAAAGCATCCGACAAAATCATATGAACTAAAGTGAAACTTTTAAAATCAGAAGAGTTAAAACCCAAGCCATAGAGTTGACCAAATTGAAACCGAACCAAAAATCATAGACTAAATTGAAACTTTCAAAACTATAGGGAGCAAATCGAAACACAAAACCATAGGTTGTTACTTAACTTTTTTATTTTTATTTTGGAGAATGACTCATGGTGTGATACCCCACCTAAGATACTAAAATTATAAGATTTTTAAAAAGAGATAAATAAACCCAAATATTTTCCATGACCTTATTGATCCGTCCAAAAAAGAGAAAATCAATTTCGAGTTAAATCTTTAGGGAGGAGAATTAACGTAGGTATCCAATTATTATATTAATCTTAATCTTGATCTGAAAAAATAGAGTAGTTCAAAACTATATATTACTTTGAAATATATAGTGTCAATCTAATAATGATATGAGTTATTTAGTGAGTGGAATTAGTCAAAATACTCATAAGCAGACTCGAACACACACAAAATTATTGCAATCATAATTAAAGGTTACCTGCAAATTGATGGATATTCGTGAGGATGAAGATGAGGGCCGTCCAAAAACTCAAAGGATATGGAGTCCCTCCAGCCAGCGGCCTTGGAGATGAGAAGATTTCCATTACAATAAAACTTGACCTTCTGAGAAGGATCCCTTGAGTACCACTTCATCTTCTCCTCCCTTGGCTGCTCATGAAACTCTTCAATGGCTTCCAACACCTTCTCCATCACCCCACTTGGAACCCCATGGTTCACCATCTGAAACAGACCCCACTCCTCACATGCCTCCCCAATCTCCCTCACCACCTCCTCCCTCCGCCGCTCGCCGCTTAGATCTATCACCGGCACCTCCGCCACCGCCCCTCCTGCCCTCTCGCTCCCGCTCTCGGGCGGATGGATGAAGAACCCTGGGATCCTGGTCGCTCCTCCCTCGATCAGGCCTAGTCAAGAATATGAATAAACAATTAAATTAAATATACTGCAACCCTTTGACTTTTAAAATTTTGGATTTAGTGGTGATATCGTTTGACAGACCTTTGACTCCCGCCTTGGTATCGTCGAAGTCCTTGACTTGCTTGGCTCTTTTTTCACTCTGCAAGTCCTTGCTTGTGAGATCCATGATTGAGCAAAGTTTGAAGGTTCTTGGGGAAGGTTTGTGGGATTTATAAGAATTTGTTTGGGGGAAGGAGAAAAAAGAGGGAATATATATATATATAGGGAAGGCCATACCCTATTGTCTTTGTGTGGACCACACGCAAATCTTTCAATTTTTGTAGCTTTCTTTTCTCAAGACTATGAACATGACGTGCTAGCTCTAAAGTTCCTACTTTTTGTGTGCATTTCCATAGTTAGTAAAAAGATTGATATCTCATTCACAGCCTAATTTCGGGTTTAAATCTCATTTTGGATCTCGAACCTTTCACTTATCTGGGTGTGTTTTGTTTTTGTTGAACGCGCTTATGATATGTTTTGGGTTTTAGTCTTTCTAACTTTTAAATGTTTGATTATTAAGATATGCTCGAGTTGGTTTGAGATGTTTTGTTTTATTTTGGAAAATTTGAAGAGAAAAGTTAAATAAACATGAAAGTATAACTTTAGTATATATAGAAATGATAATGAAGCAATTTTACTTAATAGTATAAATTTTATATGTATACTAAAAGTTAGGGTAAAATACAAAAATTTGGTCCTTAAACTCCGAGGGTTGTGTGTTTATTTAGTTATATTTAATCTTTGTACTTTAAAAAGTTTCTATTACTTATTTAGTCCTCGTTTATTGGTTCCATATATTTTAAATGTTTCTAAAAGGTGTCTAAACTTTTGAGGTTGCGTTTTATGTAGTCCATATAGCTTAAAAAGTTTTTAATAGATTTCTAAACATTTCAATAGATCCATGTCGTTGACTTGTCAATTATTGCTTATGTGGTGTGCTAACTATGTTATTTAACAATAATATATGACGAATTGATTTCGGACAGGTGCAAGCATTTGATGGTGAAAGCGAAGAATTAACGATTTAATGAATATGCATGGACCTATTGAATACAAAATTGAAAGTTAAGAGATCTATTAAAATAAATCTATAGTATAATAACTAAATGGACATCATTTTAAAAGTTGAAGGACCTATCGAAAATTTTAAAATAGAAGGATTAAATAGACCTATTAAATTTGGAAACCAAACTTATAATTTCACATTTTTCTTAAAATAATTGAACCTTAAGTAATATTATAATTTTGGTTTTTTATAATAATTACCGTACTTCATAAGATATTTATTTTTTTTTTAAAAAATATTTCATCACAAGATATGATCAGTAGATTTGAACCTACAACCATTTAGAAAAGGTTTAGATTAGATGCATGTCTAAAGCTAGGGTTGAAATTTAATATATGCCATATTTGAAAATACATATTAATTATTTCATACGATAGGTGTAAATATCTCAAAATAATTTGTGTGTTAAAAGATAAAAGTTAATCTATAAATTTAATTCACAATTAAGCTAAACTTATAAATATTACTATTATGTTTAGATCTAAAATTCTAGATAGAGTATAATTCCGCGATCAAGACATTTTTACATTCTTTTAAGAGGTTGTAGGTTCAAATTCGTATCTCTATGTTCAAAGTCAATCAATATGCTAATAAATATTAAACCAATAAAATTAATGGCTGAGACCTATATTAGATATAAAATTGAAAGTTTAAGAACGCGCAATTAAAACGTTTTAAAATGTAAAAACTAGATAGATGAAATCTTGAAAGTCTTAAAGAACCAAAGTTATAGTTTAGCGAATAATTATCTATATACTAATTAATGTCACATTCAACATTTATAAAGTTTAAATCCTGATAATTGATGTTATATTAAGAAAAGAAAAAGAAATATAAATAAGGATATATATATATATATATATATATATATTATTTTTCGTTTTTAAACTTCATTCTTTTTCCTATTCCAATCCTTTGTCTCCAAATGTTAAAAAATTAATTAATAGAATGATGATTTGACATCCATAAAAATATATTGTATTAACTTTGGTTGGAAATACTTTATGTTTTATTTATTATGTCCAATTATAAAATTGAAAAACTTCCTAACTCACATGATATATGACCCCTAATAGTTTATTGGACCAAAAATGTGTTGTTCTTGGAAAAAAAAGGGTCCCATTTAAAAATGCTACTACGTTAACTACCGACAATCTCATAAAAACAATACAAATTTTAAATTCACACCTCATCATTATTTAATGACAATATTATCTTGATTAAAAAATGCTCAATAAATAAAGTATGAAATTAAAATTTTTAATAAATAATAGAGATCATATTGAAAATAGCACAAAACATTAATAACATTATTAGACATAAGTAAAGAAAAAAAAGGAACATTATTATATATTTAGCCTATGTATAAGAAAATTGTGATTTTCTTACCGAATATAAGCACAATATTGATTGATATTCTTAAAAAAAATAAAGAAAGAAAAAAGAAAAAAAAACATTGTTTGTTATTATATGTGTATGTATGAAAGGTGCACTATGAATTTAAAATGATTCATTGTAATCCTAAAAAAAGGGAAAATGACTTTCTATGTGTATAATTTAAAATTAATTTTCCTACCAAGCAAAGAATAAAAAAACAAAACTTGCTAAGAAAAAAAAGCAAGACATTTTTTAAATACTATTTTTATATTAATTGAAGATGAAATGTGTGGTTTGGATCAAGAAATGGCTCATTCTTTCTATCAAAAGGCAACTTTGAAATGTGTGAAATTAATGATTTAATGGGTTTAGGATTTAAACCTTTAAGAAAGTTCCACTAATCTATATTCTATACACATCCTCCCATTCATTCACGACTACTCTAAAATATATTTATTTTTCTTTCATCCATTGTGTCATGAATAGAAACACACAAGAGAAAAAATCAAAAATTTTCAAAGGAAAAAAAACCATTCACGTGATTTTCAATTCCAATCTGATCGATCGAATCGATATCAGTCAATCGATTTAGAATTTTCCCAAACTGTCGATTGATCGGCTTTCGTTGCAACCCAGCTCTACCCAATGTTGCTGCTCAGATTTTGCAGCTCCAAATCGGCACCTTAGCTCCATTTCGGAAGAGTAAGTTATCTAAATTCAACAACCCTTGTCCATTGTTTGAATTTTTTTTTAAATAGTAACAGATGGAAGAAAAAGAAAATATATTGAAAAAACATAAAAATTGTAAAAAAAGTCAGTTTGTCGAAAGTCAATCAACCAAACCGACCCTTTGATTGGTTGGTGGGAAAGCAAATAATCAGTTGGTCGGTGTCGGTTTAGGTGTAAAAACCGATCCGACTGACTGATGTAAAAATCGATCCGACTGACTGATGTACACCCCTAATTTTCAACAGGATTATTGTAACCTATGACCAGGGTTTTAAACATATAAGTTAAATTAAATGTTGAAGTCTCGTTGATTGTCTGGTGGGTATTCTTAAAAAAATTATAAAAATAAAAAATTCTTGATAAATTACAAATAAATATTTCACATTTTTAAATAAATTAAAAATTATTAATATTATTATTATGTTTATATCAGTGATATTGATTTAAAATAAAAGTAATAATAACAGATTAACTTCAAACCAACTTTTATCTTTCAAAATTTTCTTTATTTACCTAAAAAAACATTGATTTTAGAACAAAATCAATTTATCAAAATCTTTTATTAATTTTTTAAGAGAAACTTATTTAAAAACAAACTAGTACTTTTATTTTAAAATAAAAAAACATTCAGTATTTTAATTTTATATTTCGAAAACTGATTTGAATATTCGGTTATGAATTTTTTGAAATAAATAAAGTGTATGAAGTCTTTGGAATGACAATTGGTATCTTTATTACATTAGCTAAAACTTATTTGTTCTTGTTCATTTCTATAACAACAAGATGGATTTTAGCCCGACTAAGAATAGACCAACTATTAAATCTCGGATGGAAATTTCTAAATCTTCATTTAGAAAGTTCTGCTTTTATTTTGAAACGTTTTATTTCTTCACAGCAAGCCTTTTTTTTAAAAAAATTAATAAATAAATAAAATCTTTTATTAAAAGAAGTATCCTGATTTCACTGTATCATCGAGTTTTGCCACCAGAAGCAAGCCTACTTTGCTTGTGCCGATGAAGCACACTGCCTCCTTCAGGAAAGAAACGAATGATCGAGATCGATCGACCGACCAAACACGGAGATGTTATGTAGCTATATCCCATATAGATTTTCCATGATCAAACTTTGACAATGGAATAGGCTGAAAAATTCTCAATTCGCCAATTCCGACGATGATGAAATTGGGGTGTGGAGGAAGAGTAGGTTAGAGCACAATAATTGACAAATTTGAGCATGTCAAACTTTTGTGGTCTAGGATGGTAAAGAAAATGGATTGAAAAGTACGGGGGAGGAGGGTATGAAGGAATTATGAAGAAGATGAGAGAGAGAAAGGTAGGGAAGGGATGAAGGCCTCAAGTTTCCTCTGCTCCGTCCTCTATGTGCTGTGAAACTTTCTTAGAAGTGCAACGGTAATGTAAAGGTGGTAAAAGTGAGTCAGAGAAAAAGAAAGGTAAGAAGGAAGGAGAGAAAGTCAAGTGGTTTGTGTTCTGACCAGGGAAACAAAGAATAACAAACTTGAAAAATCAATTTTAGTATTTTCTTTTTAAAATTAAAACAAATCTTTTTATTTAAAACAAATTCTTTATTTAAAAATCAAATCTTTTTATTTATCTAATTTTTTTATTTTAATAATAAAACAAAATCTATTAAAACAAAATCTAAATAAAACCATTTTTTATTTTCTTATTAATAAAATTAAACATTTAAATAAATCTAACCTTTTTAATTTAAGTTAATTTAAACTTTATATTAAAACTAATAATAAAGTAAACGTATGTTATTTAAACAATTAAAATACAAACTTAATAAAGGAATAATAATAAATAAAAAATAAAAAAATAAAATAAAATAAACCAGACTAAATACGGTGTCTACAACTTCTGTCTACCATTCTTTTATGTCTATCATTTTATTGATGATAGACTATATAATTTGTGATAGACGTGCATATCACTGTTATTGTCTATCACTAATCAATTGATACACATTTCTAAGACTATTTAAGTTTCTTTT